CTAGAACTGTGCCCTGAGGTGCTCCAGTATTAAAATTATATCAGAATGTTTGTTAGCAAACCTAACCAGCTGTGGTCGTGATAAAATAAAGCAATAAGCTCCGCGTCGTGCCTAACAACGCCCCTTAGCTGTTCTAAATCCACTGTAAAACATGACTTCGGTGTTAAGATTAACTGGCCTACAGTCCTCAGAGCTGCTCTGCCTAACATTGGAGAGAACGTCTTTAATCCTCTCTTTTCACCACTGTAAAAAGCAGCTTTCTCCTTATTAATAGCAGCTATTAACTTCTCTGGTGACCCATGGTTTGTTATTGGGAAAGATTTTGATTTGTTTACATGGAATTAAAGACTCAACAGTAATTGATTGACACAGTAAAGTCACTTTGTCAGAGATACTGTCCAGATCACTGTCCATCAAAGAACACACACCAGTCTGTGCATTCAAAGCACCACCTTAAAGGGTAACTAAAGCCTAAAACAACTTTTTTTAGTTAATGATCTGTAAGACTGGGGCTTTATTAATGCTGTTCATTGATTCAAGTAATTTTTTGACATTTGGGTATAAAGTAATTTAATTCTACAACATATGGTATAAAAACGTCTGAGTGCTGCCCTCTTCAGGTTGAACGGTGGCTACTGTAGTTAAATTTTTTTCTATTGGAAGTTGTGGTGCCCTGTGACATAAGAGGGTACCAGCTAACCATGCCCTTGCCTACAGAGAGACCCGTCTAAGGTGCACGCCCCCCCATCCACTTTTCCAGCATTTATTATATATTGCCAGTGGGTGGAGTCAGGCTCTGACCAGGGGTTTAGTTACCCTTTAATGTTTCACAAGCTTCCTCTGACCAGATGTGCACAGTCTTCTTTGACGTAGTCGACTGTTATCAGAATGTTATCACCGGTGATGAATATTTGGACATCAAGGTTATCAGGTCAGATTTACCCAGCGGAGGAAGCAATTTAGCAACATAGCCATCCTTAACGTTCATATAAAACAAGTCAATAGTTTTGTCACCCCTCGTAGGACATGTCACCATTTGTTTAAGAGACGGTAGGGTGGTGGAAAGAGAGAGCAGTGATTAAAATCCCCGTTTAAAATAACCAGCGCGTCTGGAGAGGATTCTCAAAATTGTCTCAGTGGCACGCTTGACGCTTCCCATTACCCGATGGAGGAATATACACCAGCACCAGTCTATTTTCAGTCTAAAGTGAGCGTCTGTTCACCTGTTTGTGAGCAAGGACGTTGATGTGGCATTTGGTGCACTCCTGACCCATGTTCGGCCACGAGTTCCCACTCATCCATTTCCTCGTGCATATGGGACACTTGTACTCCCCGAAACACCTCTTATTATCCTGATCCGCCATCAGACCCCCTCCTTTTTGGCGAGCCTGGTAAGAAAACAGTCTTTAGTTGTGCTGTGAATGGAGAGCTGTGCAATAACAGTGTCACATGATCGAGATCGGCCCGTGAGTTCTGAGCTCGAACGAATAGCGCACTTTCACTTTCACTTTCGTTTCGTTTGCCGTTGGATGTTTGAGTTTCGTATGTAACAGAAGTTGCAGCTCTTATCAATTGCACAACGTGAGGGTCACACAGTCTTGTCGCCCATTTCTGGATCCACTTGCATAAAGTGTGGCTCTTGTCCAGGTCCTTTCCCCTTCAACTTCATAGAAACAAAAGTTACGCTAGATTTTAATGCCGATGGTGCCGGTGTGTGAAGTGTTGAGTCCCAGAGAAGTGAGTCCCAGTTTATACAAAAATTGCAAGCAAAATGTGTAGTGACATCTAGGAAACTAGTGTTTTGATTAATCTCCCCTGGTGTGCCACTCCAAATGTTAATTTTGTTTTCTTTAGCCTTTTTGCCTTTGACTATTTTGAAGTAGCTCCCCCTCTTTGGTTTGTTTTTTTGTTGTTTTCTGTTTGGTTAAGCCTACTTTTTGTATATTGACAACATTTGTAGGCTATATAGGCCTACGCATGTATATTCTCTTTCCCCTATACTTAGAGTTTTGTATGTTGCTGTTTTTGTCAATAAAAATAAATAAATAAATAAATAAATAGAAATAGAAATGAGTCCCAGCTGAGGACCCCAGTATGCCTGATCTAAAGCGGTTCTAGCGAATCTTATTGTAATCAATCAAACTTTAATTCCAATATTAACTAGTATATTTTTAAATATTAATTACTAGATTCATTCGATTTTTTAATAGGTAGCCTATCTAATGACCAAGTACTAGTATCTATTGAATAAGTAGTATCTTAGGCACTATATCTAAAAAATAAGTAGTAGCCTACTAGTACCGAATAAATAACTACTAGTATCTAATAAATACATAGCCTAAGTCCACTGAAGACGAGGTTGCAGAACCCAAGTGCAGTTTAATAGTAGGCTAGACAGAACAAGATCAAACATAAAACAAAAGCATGGCGTGGCATGAAAATCAAGACTTAAACGTGAACATAAACTTCCCAACAGTGGTTACAGGCACTAGACAAACATGTTGTAGCAAGACTAATGACTAGACAAGGGACATCTGTGAACAATCAAGACAATAAACCAGGATTACATTAACAGAGGATCACATGACAGAAATGAAACTAGAGCATGAAACGAAACCGAAACAAGGTGTGACAACAAGTCAGAACTGAATAGTTGATATCATGACAGATCCCCATAGAAGTCAATGGCAATTTTTTTTTAAATGTGTTACTACTAACAAAAGAATTACCAGTCACTGTTGAAATAAGTACTAGAATCTAATGAATAACTAGTGTCTATTTTATACTAGTATCTAATGAGTAGTATCGGAAAAAAAAGAACTTGCATCTAATAAATAATACTATATCCTTTAAAAATGTAGTATCTAAATAATAAGCACTAGAAGCCTACTCAATGGAATAGATAGTAGCCTATCTAAAAAATAAGTACTATAGTGAAAATAGATACTAGTAGGGTTTTAAGGATTAAATGTTAAAACGCCGTGCCATAATAACAAAGCAGACGTGCCAAACACTCGATACATTGTTTTAACGTAGAAAACGATTGTAAAGGCAAAACTTACTTGGAGATGTGATGTGATGTGATGATGTGATGTGAGGAATGGACCTCGAGAGTTTGTTCTGAATGAAGAACGGAGGCGTCAGTCTGTATTTATACGCTCTTCTATCCAAGAGGCGTGTGTGCATTCCTTGAACAATGATGTTGTTTGAGTTGTTACCATGGGACGTTGATATAAATATTATAAATGCATTTTTGTTTTGTTTTACTACTTATATATAGTTTACTATTTTTATTTTATTAGAGGAAAACACCATTACTAAGAAATGTCAAGGCTTGCCCTGATCCTCACACAACTCTGCCATTAAGCCATATTAATCTCAGATTCCATCTAAGAAATTATTTAATTATTCCATGTTTCTTACAATATAAAATACTATTTATGTTAATATGTAATTTATATGAAAAAGTAAAGACACACACTCACTAGAGTTTCACATTTCACAGTGTTTTCTTTAGTCCGCCTGTAATGGACTCACATGAGCAGCAGAGGGCAGATCTACACCTGATCATGTGATCGCAACACACTTATACACAATACCTTATAGTCATTTATAATCATTATCATTTAAGGTTTAATTTGTGTAGTAATGTATGTACATTCTGTCAAAAAGATATTGAATCTCAGGAACATCTTTTTTTTGTTAAGTCCTTTTGGGACAGATTGTATGAGTGGTTGAAGATAAAAAATGCAAAACCTGCCTTTGACTATCACATGGTTAAGTCTGTATTTTTGCAAAACAAAGATATTTAATTTTTGTCTAATAGCCTAATACTGTATGTTGACTGTAGCCAAGTTTTATTTACACATATGTAGATGTCTTAAAGTTTCTCCATGTTTTGTTTTGAGGCATTTTACAATTATTTTACAATTTTATTTAAATCCTTAAAGGGGTGGTTGATTATGATTTCATTTTTCTAACTTTAGTTAGTGTGTAATGTTGCTGTTTGAGCATACACAACATCTGCAAAGTTACAACGCTCAAAGTTCAAAGCAAAGGGAGATATTATCTTTAAAGAAATCATTGGTTAAGGACTACAACAAACGGCTGGTAGGAACTACACGAGCTTCCTCTCGGGTTTGGCATCTTACAACAGTTCCCACACGAGCAATTTATAGATTATCATGACAGAATGTGCTAATCAAAGAAACTAACCATCCAGAAACGTCCTGTTGCTCTACATGTTGTCACTTCTTCTTGAGTCTCTCCAACTTTGTCTGACTAAATAAAAGAAGCTCCGCTCATTTGCATCTAAAGGGAATTTTCCATTTTTTTATTTTTTCTTCTTGTTTTAGATATGCTTGAGATAGATATGTTTTAGATATAGAATTTGATAATTCCAAAAGTCTAACATCCCTCAAAATCAAGTTCCAAACTACCTAAATCAGTTTAAATTGTGCAGTGTTGAAGAATATCCAGAGCATGAAAACCTGTTGATTTTAGTGCTGATAAATAAAATATTTAATAGTTTACTCATTGTAAACTAGGTCACAATAAGTATATTTACTTTGACCTCATGGGTAATGTTAAAAGTTTGACACAATTCAGATGCAGCCAAAGTGTTTTTTTGTTTTGTTTTTGTTTTACATTAGGCTGCACATTAAAATTGTTCAATCAACATTTTTGCTCGGGAAAATTCAGTAGTCACTGGATAATATTGGTAATAACTGACACTCCTTGGAATCCTCGAAATTGTGAAGTGCGTGTATTTTAATATTAAATATGATATGTTGACGTTTCTTGGAAACCTTCCAATGGCGAATCAACAGCTTATGAATATTCATCACCATCATCGTCATCATCATCATCATCCAACCCTCCAGCACAGGATTGGTAAATTGCGGTTTAACTTTCCTCCTCAGAGCTCGAGCTGCACGAACTGTCCCGTCTGTCATTCTGCAACAATGGACTCAGTGTGAGCCAACAGACACAATCCCTTTTTATTTGATTTGAAAGTGGATTTATCATTGGAAGATGAGTTTGGGTTCAGCTCTAGACTCGGTTTATCAGCCCGCGCAACTCTTAAACTGGGTGTATCTGTCGCTGCAGGATTTGAAGAGAAATAATGACGAGTTTACAGCATCTGACGAGAACTATTACAACAGCAAACCTGCTCACGTCATCAGCAGCTTCATGCACGAGCGCAGAGAGGTGATGACATCACGACTATCTATCTATCTATCTATCTATCTATCTATCTATCTATCTATCTATCTATCTATCTATCTATCTATCTATCTATCTATCTATCTATCTATCTATCTATCTATCTATCTATCTATCTATCTATCTATCTATCTGTCTATCTGTCTGTCTGTCGTTCTATCTATCTATCTATCTATCTATCTATCTATCTATCTATCTATCTATCTATCTATCTATCTATCTATCTATCTATCTATCTATCTATCTATCTATCTATCTATCTGTCTGTCTGTCTGTCTGTCGTTCTATCTATCTATCTATCTATCTATCTATCTATCTATCTATCTATCTATCTAATCTATCTATCTATCTATCTATCTATCTATCTATCTATCTATCTATCTATCTATCTATCTATCATCTATCTATCTATCTATCTATCTATCTATCTATCTATCTATCTATCTATCTGTCTGTCGTTCTATCTATCTATCTATCTATCTATCTATCTATCTATCTATCTATCTATCTATCTATCTATCTATCTATCTATCTATATGTCTGTAGTTCTATCTATCTATCTATCCATCTATCTAATCTATCTATCATCTATCTATCTATCTATCTATCTATCTATCTATCTATCTATCTATCTATCTATCTATCTATCTATCTAATCTATCTATCTATCATCTATCTATCTATCTATCTATCTATCTATCTATCTATCTATCTATCTATCTATCTATCTATCTATCTATCTATCTATCTATCTATCTATCTGTCGTTCTATCTATCTATCTATCTATCTATCTATCTATCTATCTATCTATCTATCTATCTATCTATATGTCTGTAGTTCTATCTATCTATCTATCTATCCATCTATCTAATCTATCTATCTATCTATCTATCTATCTATCTATCTATCTATCTATCTATCTATCTATCTATCTATCTATCTATCTATCTATATGTCTGTAGTTCTATCTATCTATCTATCTATCCATCTATCTAATCTATCTATCTATCTATCTATCTATCTATCTATCTATCTATCTATCATGATGTTTCTATAATAATCACATGTTCAGACAGATGCATGTGGTCTTACTATAGCTAATTATAGTTACAGGAATATATTCTAGTCCTGCAGAACTGGACGCATTAGAAAACTGCATGAAACTTAAATAAATGGATGAAATAAAGTTCTTCAGTTCCTCCTCTGAGTGGGCAGTCGGGGGTTTATGGGTTAACAGGATCACTGTTGGTGTAGTAGAGCATCATGAGTATTTGTGCAGAGAACGAGTGAGAAACGCTGCTTGAATGACTGGTTTCACTTGGGTCCAGCTGTGCACAAGCTTCTCCCACAATGCACCTCTGGCTCAGGTTTACTGTAACTGGTGCAGTTGGACTGGGAAACTGTCTGAACACTTCATCTGCTCCTGTTTAGTTTCATTACTCTGAAAATGACGAGCTTACTGTGAATTGGGCTCTTGATAATAAATCAGTCTTTAAGTAACAAAGACGTACCATTTTGGACAACAAACACTGAATAACTTGTGAATAACATGGTGTATGAACACAATAGTTCAGTACCATGGTAAATAAACCCCCTAAATCTTAGTCTTATACCATTATTCAAACATGGCACCCCTTTATTGCAAGTGTTAGTGTTATGGAAAGAATGAAATATCCGTTACTTTGGCTTTAGAAAGCACAAATAAAACAGGCTGAATGGGGTCAACCGAATGAAAAACCACAGTTTTGGCTGAAAAGATTTGAAACTTTAGTGGTTTGGCTCCAAATATGCAGCGTGGGAAAACATCTGGGTTCAGCATTCATATTATAGGTGCATAAAATCATCATTCTGGAACAGTGATATATATGAGATATGAAAAATGCAGGCTGTGGTTTATATACCTGATGATGCACGTGTTTGTTTGTGTGTGTGTGTGTCTGTGTGTGTGTGTGTGTGTGTGTCTGTGTGAGTGTGTGTGTGTGTGTGTCTGTGTGTGTGTGTCTCTGTGTCTGTGTGTGTGTGTGTGTGTGTGTGTGTGTGTGTGTGTGCTGCTTTCTGATGTGTCTGCTAGCAGATACACATGCACATAATGTAGCATACTACTTTTACATAATGCAAATGTATTTTTTAAATGTTTATCAGTGCATGTTGCATACTATTTAACATGCTTTAAATAAAATAGTATAGAGTATGTAGTGCTCAATATGAAGTTGGCTAATATTCCACTCCGCACATATGCCTTCTGTTTCCGCACATGACCACATCTCATGAGACAGACTGAGGAAAAAGAGATCGGAGAATCATGTGGCAAAGTTTGTCTTCCTGAGGAAAGTGGAACATTCTCTCTCACACAGATCATCTGGAGAGAGGGAATCAGACCAGAAAACCACGGAGAAAAAAAGATAAACAATCAATTAAAGCGTTTATTAAAAAACAGAGGAATTAATTTCTAATCAAGCGAAAACAACAGTGGTCAGACACACCTACTGGCAGCTCGGGGGAAATAAAGTAAATATTTAAGAAAATGTCCATACTGAATAAGGGCAGTATAAAAGAGAAATATAAAAAGAAATGCAAATGCATTCTATCCAAAGTGACTTGCATTGCATTCAAAGCATGATTATTATTGTTAACTAAAAACAAAAAAAATATTATCGTTACTAATAATGGTTAACTGAAGTAAAATAAAATATAAAAAAACTAAAACATATTTTATTTCAGGTAATAACTATAAATAAACTTATTTAAACTTATATGTTTTTTTAATGAAAACTATATAGAGATATTTTTTTTAAAAGAGACTAAAACACAATTAAATGACTTTATAATACTTTCTTTTACTTTTAATAATACTTTTTATAATAAAAATACTCAAAATGGAAACATTAAATTATATTGCATTTATAATCTAAATGTAACAATTCCTATTATATTACATTGAAAGTTGTGCATGCATACCAAGGTGATTTACTAGATTTGTCAGAATACTGGATACCACAATGCAACGTGTTTTCTTTCTCTCCACAGACTCTGTGTAGCAGCTTATATGAGGGCTCGTCTCCCTACGGTTCACTGAACGACATCGTGGAGGGTCTGAGTTTACTGACGGACAACTTCTCCGACCTCTCGCTCGCCTGTGAACCCAGAAAACTGTACAAGAAGCCTCCGCCAAACTACCTGTGCCACCTGTGCTTCAACAAGGGCCACTACATCAAAGACTGTCCGCAGGTGAACACACACACACACACACACTGCACACCTGAGCTCATCTACACCTGTCAATCATAATCTCAGGATTTATAAAATAACATTCAAAAACAAAACACCTAACTTTATATCACTAAAATGAGAAGGAAGGCGTCTTAAATGCAGGCCAAGAAGCTGTCAGTCAAAAACTGAGTAGCCAATGAGAACACACCAATGCTGCTAGCCCCGCCCCCACAAGGGATTTGTGTGTAACTGACCTGCATTACAAAATTTTACCCATAATTCATTGCAACCCATCTATCTGGCTGTTAGCATGAGCAGCTGTAATGAGTGCCAGATGAACCTTTCGTGTTTATGAAAGACGATACAGTTTCTTGCCTTTCATGACATCATAGGCTGTCATAGATGAGGGAAAGTCCAGCGAATTCTGCCAAACACACATCAGTGAGCAGCGCGTCATCTCAAGAAACCGAGGGAAAACCTTTTATTAGAACGATGGAGTGATTTAGATCTTTGCCCTCCACAAAATCTACTGTCTCAACATTGTAATTAATCTCAGGTGACACGAAAGAAAAGGCGATAACAAGAGATGAAACGTCCTGAGAAACAACAGCTGTGATCTCTGAGGTACATGCCGATTCCTGCTTTAAATCAGGACAATCAGATCAAAAACACCTTTATTTTAAACTTACGGAAAGAACTTCAGAAGAACTTTTTTGACATTAGATATACATTGAATCTTTAAAAGATATTAAGAGTTTGAATGGAGACACGAAAATGAGTAGACCTTACAACTTTTTCTCAGTTTTTCTGCAAAACTCTCATCCAGACCCCCTAACAACCACATAGGAACATGCTAGTAACCACCCAAAACCCCCTTGCAAGCAATTAGCAACCACCTAGCAACACCTTAGCAACCACCCAGAACACCCTAGAACAACACCCTAGCAACTGCCTAGCAACAAAACAGAACATCCTAGAAACTGCATATTAAAATCCTAGAAACCCTCCAGAACACCATAGCAATCACCCTAGTTACTCCATAGCAACTATACCTAGAAACCACCCAGAACACCCTAACATCCACTCCGAACAGCTTAGCAACCCCCTAGCAACCAAACAGAGCACCCTAGAAACTGCACATCAACATCCTAGCAACCACCTAGTAACCATCCAGAACATCATAGCAATCACCCTAGTAACTGCATAGCAACTACCTAGCAACCTCCCAGAACACCCTAGAACCAACATTTAGAATAGCTTAGCAACCTCCACAGCAACTATCCAGCAACACTTTAGCAACTGCCTAGCAACCACACAAAACACCCTAGAAACTGCATTTCAACATCCTAGCAACCACTTGGAACACCCTAGCAACCACCTTGCAATTGTATAGCAACACCCGAACAACCACCCAAAACACCCTATCAACTGGATATCAATACTTTAGCAACATAGCAACACCCTAGCAACCACCCAGAACACCCTGAGATCCACAAAACTCTGTAAACTCAGAATTCTGAGAAAAAAGCCAAAATTCCGAGAAAAAAGCCAGAATTGCCGTTATCTACTTTACACATCTCCTGCCAGGAGTTGGTGGGAGTTTTTCACCCAGACGTTTAGCTGTTTGTGTTTTGCCTGTCCACCTGTCAGTGTCCGTCTCACTGAAACCCAACACTGGAACAGCTGGACACAAAGACCTGCAGAATAAAGGAACAGGATTTATATTTGATTTTCTTTTTTGACTGGATGGACGAATATTATTCACATATGTTGACACAAAATCTTAAAAACATCCTAAATAAACTTCTAATGGTACATTTTTCACATATGAGTCAGAACGGAGGTTCTCTTAAGTATATGGTCTGTTTTTGTCTCTTATTTGAATTGTGAGCTTTAAATCATCACTTACTCTTCAACCCTGTAGCGTTGCAGTTACCGCCCAACTAGTTTTATTTACTCGCCAACTTTAAGTGTTGGTTTTGGACTCTGAGAACAATACTCTGACACAGATCTTCCCCTCATTAAAGGACACTCTCTCGTGACCTTCCACCAGTATGTTATATTTCAGCAGTAATTCTATAATCCAGTATCTTCTTTCCCCACAGTTATCACATTTACCTGAAGAACGTTAAAGTGCTGAAGACATCTGTTGTTTGTGCAGGTTGTCGTGAAACTGATCCTCAAAATTGAATTAGAAACACACTTCACTCAAGTACGTGAACACAAACACTTCTAGCTACACAAGCACAATTTAATGCTTTGTTAAATCATTCAGAATGTAATTTATAATAGCATGCAAGTACGTCTTGCATTCTCATTATAGCCATAATGTATCTGGCATCAGTGTAAACTTCTTCTATGGTCGGGTTTCTCTTATTTTTTAGGGTAAAGCAACAGTTTGAATGTTTAACTGAGCAAGTTAAAGTTATGTAGGCATGTTTATAGCTAGAAATGAAAATAATAACATCAAAAATAACATCAATTTGTGGTTTAATGTGATGGTATACCGTCCCCTTGAGTGCTATAATGCAGGAATGCAGGTTAAGGTTGTTGAGTGGGACTCCATGCTTGAAATGCTTCTGCGTTTGTGTACTTGTGGAAAGTATGATTCTGGCAGTTTGTATGATCTGAGTAATATTGAAGCTTGTTTTCCTCCTCGGAGTAAAAAATATAAAAATGGTAATTGCGACTTTTTATCTCACAATTTGGACTTATTTCCTCTTAATTCTGAGAAAAAAGTCAGAATTGCGAGATATAAACTCAGAATTGCAAGGAGAAAATTCAGAATTGCAAGATGTAAACTCAGAATTGTGAGGAAAAAAGTAATAATTGTGAGATGTAAACTCAGAATTGTGAGGAAAAAAGTAATAATTGCAAGAAAAAAGTAATAATTGTGAGATGTAAACTCAGAATTGTGAGGAAAAAAGTAATAATTGCGAGATGTAAACTCAGAATTGTGAGGAAAAAAGTAATAATTGCGAGAAAAAAGTAATAATTGCGAGATGTAAACTCAGAATTGTGAGGAAAAAAGTAATAATTCCGAGAAAAAAGTAATAATTGTGAGATGTAAACTCAGAATTCTGAGAAAAAAGTAATAATTGCGAGAAAAAAAGTAATAATTGTGAGATGTAAACTCAGAATTCTGAGAAAAAAGTAATAATTGTGAGAAAAAAGTAATAATTGTGAGATGTAAACTCAGAATTCTGAGAAAAAAGTAATAATTGCGAGAAAAAAGTAATAATTGCGAGATGTAAACTCAGAATTTTGAGGAAAAAAGTAATAATTGCGAGAAAAAAGTAATAATTGTGAGATGTAAACTATGAATTCTGAGAAAAAAGTAATAATTGCGAGAAAAAAGTAATAATTGTGAGATGTAAACTCAGAATTCTGAGAAAAAAGTAATAATTGCGAGAAAAAAGTAATAATTGTGAGATGTAAACTCAGAATTCTGAGAAAAAAGTAATAATTGCGAGAAAAAATTAATAATTGTGAGATGTAAACTCAGAATTCTGAGAAAAAAGTAATAATTGCGAGAAAAAAGTAATAATTGCGAGATGTAAACACAGAATTCAGAGAAAAAAAGTAATAATTGTGAGATGTAAACACAGAATTCAGAGAAAAAAAGTAATAATTGCGAGATGTAAACTCAGAATTGTGAGGAAAAAAGTAATAATTGCGAGAAAAAAGTAATAATTGCGAGATGTAAACTCAGAATTCCGAGAAAAAAAGTAATAATTGCGAGATGAAAATTTAGAATTGTGAGGAAAAAAGTAATAATTGCGAGAAAAAAGTAATAATTGTGAGATGTAAACTCAGAATTGTGAGGAAAAAAGTAATAATTGCGAGAAAAAAGTAATAATTGTGAGATGTAAACTCAGAATTGTGAGGAAAAAAGTAATAATTGCGAGAAAAAAGTAATAATTGTGAGATGTAAACTCAGAATTCTGAGAAAAAAGTAATAATTGCGAGAAAAAAGTAATAATTGCGAGATGTAAACACAGAATTCAGAGAAAAAAAGTAATAATTGTGAGATGTAAACACAGAATTCAGAGAAAAAAAGTAATAATTGTGAGATGTAAACTCAGAATTGTGAGGAAAAAAGTAATAATTGCGAGAAAAAAGTAATAATTGCGAGATGTAAACTCAGAATTCCGAGAAAAAAAGTAATAATTGCGAGATGTAAACTCAGAATTGTGAGGAAAAAAGTAATAATTGCGAGAAAAAAGTAATAATTGTGAGATGTAAACTCAGAATTCCGAGAAAAAAAGCAATAATTGGGAGATGTAAACTCAGAATTGTGAGGAAAAAAGTAATAATTGTGAGATGTGAACTCAGAATTCTGAGAAAAAAGTAATAATTCCGAGAAAAAAGTAATAATTGCGAGATGTAAACTCAGAATTCCGAGAAAAAAGTAATAATTGAGAAATGTAAACTCAGAATTCCGAGAAAAAAGTAATAATTGCGAGAAAAAAGTAATAATTGCGAAATGTAAACTCAGAATTCTGAGAAAAAAGTAATAATTGCGAGAAAAAAGTAGTAATTGTGAGATGTAAACTTAGAATTGTGTGGAAAAAAGTAATAATTGTGAGAAACAAGTAATAATTGTGAGATGTAAACTCAGAATTCTGAGAAAAAAGTAATAATTGCGAGAAAAAAGTAATAATTGCGAGATGTAAACTCAGAATTGTGAGGAAAAAAGTAATAATTGTGAGAAACAAGTAATAATTGTGAGATGTAAACTCAGAATTCCGAGAAAAAAAGTAATAATTGCGAGATGTAAACTCAGAATTCCGAGAAAAAAGTAATAATTGCGAAATGTAAACTCAGAATTCCGAGAAAAAAGTAATAATTGCGAGAAAAAAGTAATAATTGCGAAATGTAAACTCAGAATTCTGAGAAAAAAGTAATAATTGCGAGAAAAAAGTAGTAATTGTGAAATGTAAACTCAGAATTGTGAGGAAAAAAGTAATAATTGCGAGAAAAAAGTAATAATTGTGAGATGTAAACTCAGAATTGTG